TCATGTATAAGATAATACATCAGGTGTATAGATTTTGGGGAGAGGCATATAATTGTAAGATTAATAGACGAATGTAAAATGTTACGTAATATGGTGTGAAATTTGATAACATAGAATTTAATATTGTAAAAATAAAGATAAAAAGTATACACATGAATAATTTTTGGTTTAAAATGTCAAGTAGATCAAGTGGAAAAGATTCAGAATGAGAGTCGTAATAATAATAATAATAATGATAATAATAATCGAAGTAATAAGGGAAAAGTACATGAAATAATAAAATAAATAAATGTCTATCCCTCTACGGCCAAGGCAGCAGTAGGGATTGTACATACTTCTTTTGTACACAAAGGTCTGGCTTAAAGTCATGAATTGCCAAGGCCTCAGCTGTCTTTAGAAGTCTGTAACGAAGAAAACGCGGGAAGTTGGCATGAATTCTGTATATGACCTTGAAATCATGGTCAGGGTTGACCGAGTGACAGGAGTCGATGAGGTGTTCTAAGATAGAGCTTCGCACACATTTCCTTTCTCCTTTGTAAAACCAAGCTGGAATATGTTCTCGTATCCGTGTGGAGAGCATTCTCTGACTACGGCCAATGTACCTTGCTCCACAAGAGCAGGTGAACTGGTAGATGCACATGGAGGCGGTCAGACGGGGGAGCTTATCTTTTACAGAGGTAGAGAACAGTTTGCGGCTCGTGAACGTCATATGTAATCTAGCTGCAGGGAACGTTTTACTAACTGATTTAGAAAGACGATTTTTGAGCATATCAGAAGCTTGATCTCCTTTGAATTCCAAGTTCACGAATAGGGTTTTCTTTGGAACTGAGTCAGTGACCAGTTTAGACTGCTTCTCTTTCATGTTTCTGTCAATAAATCGGTTAGGGTAACCGTTTTCTGCGAGTGTGGCTTTCAGGAAGTCAAGTTCTGAGTCGACGCAATCAGAACTACAAATTTTCCTTATCCTAAAGCAGAGTGAATGGATTAAATTCCTTTTCCTGGAAATAGGCACCCAACTGTAAAAATTAGTTAGTTGTCCGTTCCATGTACGTTTCCGGTGGATCGATCTCTTGAGAGATCCGTCATTCCGTCTGCTAAGGCACACATCAAGAAACGGAATACTTAGTTCCGATTCCTTTTCTATGGTGAATTGTAAAGAAGGATGGCAGTTGTTGAAGGCGAACAAGACATCATCAAGAACTACGTTCTTATCGCAGATGACGAAAGTGTCGTCTACGTATCTTTTATAAATGTCAAAATGCCCGATGGTTTGACTAAGTTGAGAATTTTCCAGCTTTGCCATAAAACAATCAGCTAACAAAGGACCCAGTGGTGATCCCATGGCAATGCCATCTCTCTGTCTATAGATCTCATTGTTGAAGGTGAACTGAACATTCAACGTGCATCTCAATAAAAGTTCTTTGAGGTGGATTGTCGGTAAACCTATTTCCAAACCATGTGTATCAATATACTCACATAAATAGCTAACAGTTTCCATGAGAGGAACATTGGTAAATAGCGACGTGACATCTAATGAGAACAGGACTTTTTCTGAGACATTAAAATCTTTAATACTATCAATAAATTTAAACGTATCATCAATGGAAAACTTAGATACTTGCCTTCTGACTGGTTCCAATATTTCGGCTAGCCATTGGGCGATTCCGTGATAAGGAGAGCCCGCCATATCGAGGATTGGACGGAGGGGTAATCCTGTCTTATGTATTTTAGGTAGTCCATACAAACGTGGTATAATGGAGCCTACTGGTCTGATGCGTTCGTATATTTCTGACGATATTGCTGACTTATTCCTCATATTCTTTAAGACATCAGTCAGTTGATTTTCAATTAAATGTGTCTTGTTCTTTTCACCGTCGGGTTTGGCGAATTTCGTTTGGTCAGAAAGGATCGCTGAGATTTTATCATTATAATCTTGGCGATTCATAACTACGACACCCCCACCTTTGTCTGGACGGCATATGATAATATCATCATTCTTCTCTAGCTCTTTCAGTTGGTCTATATGCTCTTTAGTCAGAAGATTATTCGAGCTAGGTTTTGAACTAGTGTACTGATGACAGCAATCAAGAACTGTGGATTTAAAGTATTGGAATTCCTCAGGTGATGTGGGTGTAAGATCGTTGGTCTGATTAATAAGATTTTCGAATTGCACTTGAGTATGCAGTCTGTTGACTTTGGATGACTGATGTCTTAAAGAATATGAGGAATAAGTCAGCAATATCGTCAGAAATATACGAACGCATCAGACCAGTAGGCTCCATTATACCACGTTTGTATGGACTACCTAAAATACATAAGACAGGATTACCCCTCCGTCCAATCCTCGATATGGCGGGCTCTCCTTATCACGGAATCGCCCAATGGCTAGCCGAAATATTGGAACCAGTCAGAAGGCAAGTATCTAAGTTTTCCATTGATGATACGTTTAAATTTATTGATAGTATTAAAGATTTTAATGTCTCAGAAAAAGTCCTGTTCTCATTAGATGTCACGTCGCTATTTACCAATGTTCCTCTCATGGAAACTGTTAGCTATTTATGTGAGTATATTGATACACATGGTTTGGAAATAGGTTTACCGACAATCCACCTCAAAGAACTTTTATTGAGATGCACGTTGAATGTTCAGTTCACCTTCAACAATGAGATCTATAGACAGAGAGATGGCATTGCCATGGGATCACCACTGGGTCCTTTGTTAGCTGATTGTTTTATGGCAAAGCTGGAAAATTCTCAACTTAGTCAAACCATCGGGCATTTTGACATTTATAAAAGATACGTAGACGACACTTTCGTCATCTGCGATAAGAACGTAGTTCTTGATGATGTCTTGTTCGCCTTCAACAACTGCCATCCTTCTTTACAATTCACCATAGAAAAGGAATCGGAACTAAGTATTCCGTTTCTTGATGTGTGCCTTAGCAGACGGAATGACGGATCTCTCAAGAGATCGATCCACCGGAAACGTACATGGAACGGACAACTAACTAATTTTTACAGTTGGGTGCCTATTTCCAGGAAAAGGAATTTAATCCATTCACTCTGCTTTAGGATAAGGAAAATTTGTAGTTCTGATTGCGTCGACTCAGAACTTGACTTCCTGAAAGCCACACTCGCAGAAAACGGTTACCATAACCGATTTATTGACAGAAACATGAAAGAGAAGCAGTCTAAACTGGTCACAGATTCAGTTCCAAAGAAAACCCTATTCGTGAACTTGGAATTCAAAGGAGATCAAGCTTCTGATATGCTCAAAAATCGTCTTTCTAAATCAGTTAGTAAAACGTTCCCTGCAGTTAGATTACATATGACGTTCACGAGCCGCAAACTGTTCTCTACCTCTGTAAAAGATAAGCTCCCCCGTCTGACCGCCTCCATGTGCATCTACCAGTTCACCTGCTCTTGTGGAGCAAGGTACATTGGCCGTAGTCAGAGAATGCTCTCCACACGGATACGAGAACATATTCCAGCTTGGTTTTACAAAGGAGAAAGGAAATGTGTGCGAAGCTCTATCTTAGAACACCTCATCGACTCCTGTCACTCGGTCAACCCTGACCATGATTTCAAGGTCATATACAGAATTCATGCCAACTTCCCGCGTTTTCTTCGTTACAGACTTCTAAAGACAGCTGAGGCCTTGGCAATTCATGACTTTAAGCCAGACCTTTGTGTACAAAAGAAGTATGTACAATCCCTACTGCTGCCTTGGCCGTAGAGGGATAGACATTTATTTATTTTACTATTTCATGTACTTTTCCCTTATTACTTCGATTATTATTATCATTATTATTATTATTATTACGACTCTCATTCTGAATCTTTTCCACTTGATCTACTTGACATTTTAAACCAAAAATTATTCATGTGTATACTTTTTATCTTTATTTTTACAATATTAAATTCTATGTTATCAAATTTCACACCATATTACGTAACATTTTACATTCGTCTATTAATCTTACAATTATATGCCTCTCCCCAAAATCTATACACCTGATGTATTATCTTATATATGACATTATTATTGTATTCACCAGTTTCTTACATGACATTGTATTTCTATCCACAGTAGTGTTAACCAGTTGGTTTAACGATATTCCACTTGCCCTGCTGACGGCTTTTAGTGCCAGCCCTTCTCAGCAAAGCAAAGTCTTTCTTAACTAGTCCAGGAATGATTAATGGGGAGCAGTAAAGGGGGATGGGTAGAATACAAGAATTGACAAACTGAGAAAGCAAAGACTGCTTTATGCCAGACTGCCTAAATTTCCTAATGTAGAACGTTAAGCGAAACATCTTTCTAGTAACTAGCAAGATGTGGTAGGACCAGGAAAGATCGGTGGAAAAACTCAGCCCAAGGTACTTGACATTGGATGTATTTTCAACCTCTATGCCGTTAATGATAGTGGGACCATGTGAGCTAGCTAGTTGTTGTAGGTCACGTTCACGTCTGGAAGTGAAATTGACTACCTGACATTTAGACGGATTTAGCTTAAAACCGTTTGAAGAGGACCACTGACTAATATCCGACAGAAAGTTCTTTAATTTGGAACAATCTGACTGAGAGTTGACAGGCATAGAAACAGAGAGGTCATCAGCATACTTAACAAAAGTGGCTACATCAGAATGAGGCAAGTCATGTAAGAAAAAACAAAACAGAAAAGGAGAAAGAACAGCACCTTGAGAAACACCAGCGAAGGTAAGTGAGGTAGTGGAGGACTTTCCATTGTAGACGGTGTACTGCTTCCTATCATAAAAATAGGAATGCAACCACTTATTTGTCCAGCTCTCAGCCTATGTTGTAGCAAGCTTACTTAGCAAGAGAGACCTAGGAAAAGAGTCAAATGCAGATGTGTAATCAAGAAAGGCACAGCGAACGTATTTAGCTCCTTTATCCAAACTAGAGACTATACTATGATGTATGTATGATGAATGAGTTTCATCTCTATAAAAAAAGACACGCAATAGAGGATCAGCACTTACCTCAGGCCAATCTTGATCCCTTGGCCATGTTAACAGCTTAAGATAAGCTTCACGTAATATATTATTTGGTGTTAATGATGCCATAGAATTATCCTTTGTTAGTTTAACTCCAGATGAATTAATAGAATTAGAGCATTCATTAGATTGTTGTGATAGACTGTTAACATCATTATAGGCTTGTTTAATCCAATCACGTGTATGCCTTAGACCATCAATGCCAAGTTCTAAAAAGGAAGAATCATCAACGTCACACCATCACCATCACTAGCAACAATGACATAACGATGAATATGATTTTTACAAAAATATGGTTGTCATTAAAATTCAAGCCAAAGTGGGCCGCCCTCTTCGTCTTTTACATCCAAGAACATTAAACTGGTCATCTATCAAAAGATACAATATCCACTACCTCATATCACTACATACAGACAGACACCAATTCGATTGGAATAATATTCAAATCTTAAACAGTGGGAACACCAAAAATGTCAGGGGATTTCTAGGAGCCTCGTATTCAAGTGAACTAATCGGCAATCAATAGAAAAAGTTTGTTTCAATTCACAGATCGATATCAGTTAGAGAGAACTATTGGAAACCTGCACGGTGTGCTGGACAACTGTTTCGTCCTAGTTTGTGGCTCGTCGGCATGAAAAGACTAGCTGTCTTTGATCATAGGTGCCTGCGCTCTATTTCCCGTGTAAAGTGGCATAATAAGGTGAGCAACATGGAGGTTAGGCGTAGAGTTCTAGGTAAACAGGGGAAATCAATCGACGAACTCGTGAATTTACAAAGACTGAGATGGTTAGGACATGTGTTACGTATGCCAAGCCATCGCCTCCCTCGACGAGCAATGTTAGCGGATATAGGGTCAGACTGGAAAAAAGCTAGCGGCGGTCAAACAAAAACTTGGCCTTACCAGTCAATGAAATCCACAACAGTTGGTCTAAGCCACGTAGGAAGGTGTAGACTTCCAGGCTGGGGTCCTCGGGACGGTAAAAATCTATGGTTGGAAACAATTGGTGATATGGCTCAAAATCGTTCACAATGGCTGGCGCAGATGCATCCACTCCTTGTGACTTATGATTTCCAATGAAACTGTTTTGTTCTTCGTTATTACTCCTCCTTTGTCTCACAACTCTGCTCACTGTCTCTATTATGCCTTTCTTGTACTTTCTTCTCTTGCTTTGTGTGCTACAAGGAGGGAGTGTGGCGACTTGAACTTCCGCACATTTGTGCAAAGTTCTATGTCGAAAACAGACAGACAGACAGACGTCGGCAGTACGCCAGGGTTTGAACCGATGACCTCTCGGCTATCAGATTACTGGGACTCAACTCAATGGTTGAACAGTCTACGAGCTTGCCTTGTAACCGGAAGGTACTGAACTCTAACCTTGGTAGTGGGTGTGCTTACTGCCGATGAGTCCCGAACTAGGAGGAAACAGTTGGTTGTTCAGGACTGCAGTACTGGTTTTCAATGCTTCTCTAACTGATATCAATGCATGGTAGTACTTGAAAAAAAAATCAAATCCCTAGAAAAGAACTCTTGTAAATAGACAAAATTTACCAATTCATAGGGAGGAAATCACATAAACCTAAGGTCAAACAAATTTCAGGTAAACGAAACAATCAATACTAATACAAATGGACTAGAGGGTAAGAAAAACACACACAGAAACAACCAATCACGTTCAAGTTTACTGGGAGAGATGACTAATAAAAGCTTACTTCAAATTGAAGCATGCGCTGAGGATGTCGCTTGAGTAAGGGGTAAAGAAAGCTGCGCAACTAAACTTCCCAACTCAGAGGAACACATTTTTTTTATTCTTTTACATTCCCAGTGGAACATAGGACTTCAAGTCAAGCTGGAGGTTTGAAGTTTCGGTTGCAATGGTGTTTATTTTTACTTACGGGATGGGTTGCTAGCTGCCTCATGCCCAACCACCTTCCCTTTTTACCAGTCTTATTACTGGGTTAGCGATTCTGCTGAATATTATTATTCCCTTGGGTTCCTAGTGGGACATAGAGAGAGAGCTGTATTAACGCATCGTCACTTTCTCCTATTTTCTGCTTTCCTCTTCAGATTGCCAGCTTCACGATTCCCCATAATCTCTTATCTCTTCCTCCTACATAAACGATCTCCTCCTACACGTCACTGTCGCACTGACTACCCACTCGTTGCTTCCACCATTGGGATTCCACTCTAGCAGCGATGCGATGTCATTCTATGGCCTCCTCAATGTATGGCTTATGCAACTGCATTTCCTCCTACATATTTGTTGAGCGATCGGCTCTTGATTGGTTTGTTCCTAGTTAGCAAGAGTTTCTTGTTACTAATTCTTTCTGGCCGGCCAACTGGCCATTTCATCTTCCGTATGGAGCCAGCCAGCGAAAGGGGCAACTGTTGATAAAGGTCTGTAACTCGTTGGAAATACTTTTCGTGACGCGCAGTGTAAGTTTCTGACCCGTATACAAGAACTGGGTGACTTCACATTTGTGTTCAAAATCCGAATCTTGTTTTTTTTTATTCTGAGTTATTGCACATGATTTCCAAACTGGTTTCAGGTTAATGAAGGCGTATCTTGCCTTTCCAATTCTGGTTGGCTGGCTGGCTGTCTGGCTTTAACACCTTGATCCGTGCCGTGTGTCTGTGGTTGAAACCGTACTTCCTAGATAAGTGAAGGAAGTAACCTCTGTCGAATCTCTCCCCTTGTTGGCGGTTGGTGCTGGTGGTTGGTGCTGGTGGTTGTTGCCGCTGTTCACCTGAAGTGCTGTCTTCGTTGCTTCTTCAACCAGTTGGTTGTTTTTCACCTACAAGCCTTTAAGTTTGTGTGACACTAAACATAAATCATCCACGTGCGAAATCCAGATCTTCTACAATCTTCTTCTATCGATCCAACGTATTCCTATCTTCTCACTCCCCACGCACATTCTGACGCATAATCCAGTCCCCACCACAATTAAGAATATCATCCGTGGTAATAATGGCCAGCCCCCTCTCCCCCCAGCTTGTCTTACTCTCCTGTGTTCACTTTGAACGCTTATCTGAGTTTTCCATTGTGCATCACCTGGCACATGGCATTGTCATTTAGCTGTTGGCTTCTCCTGAATCCAAAGTATCCTTTTCCAAGAAGATGCAGCTTGTTTGCTTCAATCTTCGTGAGGATATTTATTCCATGTCCCTATGCTTTCGTCGCAAGATGATGATACATTGACCAAATGGTTTTCCAAAGACTTCTAGCAATCAGAGTCGTTTCGTTTCCCTACCTCAAGGAAAGAATCATTTTTTTACACATTTTTCTTCAGTTTTAAGTTTCGCTGTAAGGTCACTCTACTACCCGCCTACGCTCAACCTTTCCTCCTTTTTCAGATTTACGATCACCTAAGAAAAAACTGGTGAACAGGTAAACTAGGTGAGGAATATATTTAATGAAATGCATAAATTAAACAGAAATACAAAATGTGAGACAACCGACAGCAAGCGGTCATTTCTTACTTACTTTGTTGAGCTTCTATAAATGTAGCAAATTTATCACGTTCATATGTAACTGCTTGTTGTCTAATATACGGTCGCATTTGCTCTATGGTGAAATTAGCTAAATCCATATGCATTTTATCCAAAAGTAAGAATACGTTCCTGAAAGAAATATATATATATATATATATATATATATATATATATATATATATATATATATATATATATATACATACAAATATTTTTTAAGAAAGCAAAAAGGTTTAAAAAGTATGTATGTATCTATTCACGTGACGACATGTACTACTTACTAACTGATTGATATGAGTAGTAGGAAAGCACTTGTGTTAACTTAATAATGCTTGCCAGCCACCATATTGAAGTGATCTACACCTTGTAGGGCCAATTTGCTGGTTTGGCGACGACAGCACCGAAAGTTTAGGTTGCAATTCAACATAAATCTGACCCTAACATTCTGGTTTCCAAAGGAATTTCAAAGTTTTCGTTTATATAGAAGGGTATTTTTCTCGTTCCTTGAGTTCCTATATCGGAAAATAGGTGTTCAAGAGATTGAAATTAACAGTTGCGATGATGTTTTTATTTTTTAAAGAGTGAGGTTGTCGGGCTAAACTCTGAACCTTCTCTCCTTTACGGGCTTACTACCGGCTGGGAGTCGAACCCAGACCTATTGCGTAACTGTCAAGCATCCCCCACCCTCACACTGAACCAATAACACACGAAAACAAGAGAGTGCGAGGGAGCTGTTTCGTCTTAGTTCGTGATTCTTCAGTAGCACGCATCCTTGACCACCCCCAACACCTGTCTGTCTGTCTGTCTGTTTTCGACATAGAACTTTGCACAAATGTGCGGAAGTTCAAGTCGCCACACTCCCTCCTTGTAGCACACAAACCAAGAGAAGAAAGTACAAGAAAAGCATCATAGAGACAGTGAGCAGAGGTGTGAGACAAAGGAGGAGTAATAACGAAGAACAAAACAGTTCCATTGGAGATCATAAGTCACAAGAATTGGATGCATCTGCGCTAGCCACTGAGAACGATTTTGAGCTAGCCATTTCACCAATTGTTTCCAACCATTGATTTTTACCGTCCCGAGGACCCCAGCCTGGAAGTCTACACCTTCCTACGTGGCTTAGACCAACTGTTGTGGATTTCATTGACTGGTAAGGCCAAGTTTTTGTTTGACCGCCGCTAGCTTTTTCCAGCCTGACCCTATATCCGCTAACATTGCTCATTGTCGAGGGAGGCGATGACTTGGCATACCCCCAACACCATCAGGGATCGAACTCATAACCTTTAGGTTACTAGGCGAAAACACTAACCAGTCAATATATTTGTAAGGACTTTTGGGCAGCAATTATGCCTGTGGTGAGAGCTGTTTGCAAGCCAAAATTGACGTCAATGATCACGTCCTAAATCGGGGCCATGAAAGAGAAGTAGCATTAGTGCTGCGTGGCTGTAGAACTTGGAGGACAACTGCTTGAGGCCAGTTAAACACACTGCCTGTTTGAGTTGGGGGATTCGGAGTTGTGTCCATATGATGGTCTTACTAACAGCCACGGTCTACCTCAAAGTAAGTCGGTGTCTACCTATTCAAGCCACTTCTCTCAAGCCTTCTCTACAGCAGAGAGGCGGTATAGCTGACTTGTTTGTCATCTAACGGAAACCCCTCAATACCATTACCTCCCTATTGGCCAGCAGTACGACCGTACACACATGGTCCCTCCGCCAGTATAGTGAAGACGACTTATACTATGGTGGTAAGGACTTTTAGTCTAACTGCCCAGCTAGATGACCTTTCTGGCACAGTAAAATCTACAGAGGAACAATAATTCCAGTCAGTGTAACTACCTGGGTCATTGCGATAGGCGAGACAGACAACCACATCACATTAACAGCTATTAGTCGCGGTTCCGAGAGCCCTTAACTCAATAACTGATGGATAAAACCACAAAATACATGATAAAATAGGAAAAACCAAAATAAAATAAGGATTTTAAACAAGCATGACTAGGTGATTTTATCAAGTGAAATTCAATTTGAATAAAGCGAAAACAACTACTTGATGTAGGAATCTAAATAAATGAAACTATCGACATTCTTTTTCAACATCCGGGACTTCTCTCCCTCTACCAGTGCTTTGTATCACAGCAGACACTTTTATGTACAATCTCCTCCCAAAATTATTGCTTTTGTTTTATTCAAAATTCATAAAGGAGGGAATAATTTATTATTTCCATGGTTTCCGAGTGGAATATACGGCTACATAACAGCACATCTCCAATTCCACCTTCTGAAGTTCTTTTTATCTGGCTCCAACTACTGTCCGTTAGCCTTTATTTCTTCCTCACACACGATCTCCTCCACGTTACACTTGGACGCCTAACTCGTCGTATCCCAGTTGGGTTCCATTCGAGGACCGGGTTGGAGGGTGAAGTTACTCCACGGTCATAAAGGGGAATATAAGCGTAGGAAATTCTATGCTCATATTAATGTAAAACCATCATCCTGGAGAGAATCAAACAAGCCAACGTGGATGAAAAACTTCGACCGGAACAAGTTGGATTCACTTGAAACAAGTCATGTATTGATCAAATCGCCACTCTACGGATCATCATTGAACAAAGCTAGGAACGGCAGTCACCTCTCTATCTCAACTTCATCGACTTTGAAAAGGCCTTCGATAGCGAAGCGTCGACCGAGAGGTGATTTGGCAACTACTTCGCTACTAGGCGGTGCCATTGACCATTATACATCTCATCCAACAGTTATACGACAATGCTGCATGCCAAGTAATCCACAACGGGAAACTTATGCAAGCCTTCGAAGTGAGGACGGGAGTAAGGCAAGGCTGTCTACTATTGCCAATGATATTCGTCATTGCACTAGATTGGATAATGAGACATACAACGGGAAATGAGGAAACAGGCATAAAATCGACTCACACAAAAAGAGACTTGGAGGATCTGGACTTCGTCGATGACATATGTCTGATTTCCCACAAAATGGAAGATATGCAAGTGAAAACCAACAAGTTGGCGATAGAAGAAGCATCAAAGATAGGACCCCAGGTGAACATAGGTAAAACAGAGGTAGGTGATGAAGATTCCTGGCCAACACCAACACCAACAGCAACAACAACAACAGACAACAATCAGCCTGCATAAATGGGAGGAAACTGAAAGAAACGACCTCCTTTACCTACCTAACCGGGAAGCATCGTTTCAACTACAGGCGAACGGAACTGACGAGGATATCAAAGCCAGAATTGGAAAAGCAAGACAGCCTTTCATTACTGTTAAGACTGTGTGGAGGTCAACAGCACTCTGCATCAAAAATGAGATCCGGATTTTCAACTCCAATGTGATGTAAGTCAGTGCTACTATAAGGATCAGAGACTTGCACTGCGCGTCATGAAGAGCATCTCATACAAACTACAGACCTTCATCAATAGTTGTCTTCACTCAATACTACTCAAGATCAGATGGCCGACCAGAAAGGATCGGCAACAGGGAGGGATCTCTGGCAATGAGCGAACCAACCAGGAACCGATTGTGCGACAAATAGGCAGGAAGAAATGAAGACGGATTGGCCATACTTTGAAGAAACCAGCAAGTGACAACACAAGTGGGACCCGGAAGGGAAGCGGCGAGTTGGTCGTCCAAGGGTGAGGGTGACTTGGAGGAGGTCATGTGAAGGAAAAGGAGATGAAAGCATGTGGGTGGCAGGCTTGGAGCGGAGTGGAAAGGTTGGCAGAAAACCGAAGGCAATGGAGACTTGGGCAGCTGAAGCCCTATATTCCTCTAGGAATTAAAGGATATAATAATAATAATAATAAATATAATTAATGTAAAACACACAAAGACAATAACAACACATACCTAAAAGATTCAACAGGATCATCAATTTTGCGTAAATCTTCAACTTCTTGATCCCGCACAGGTGCACAAAATTGTTTCATTAAATTAATCACTTCATTTTTATACACTTCCAGGCTGATATGACCAGTTTCATCAAGTTGTGATTTAGCAACATCAATATCTAATAGATTTTCAATAAGTTTTTGTAATTTTGTTTGATTCGGTAGAACTAATTCTGTTAAAGACTGAAATGATGAAGGGCACAAGGGAATAAGAAGAACAGTTAGTTAATCTTAACTGATGAGAAGAAATGATTTATACATTTATAGGGAGATCTATTTTAGGATATATATATATATATATATATGTCCGTTGTACTTTCCTTGATTACATATCTGCTTTCGACTCTGTAACCAGAGGCCTTTTGTTAAACAAGCTTAGCCTTACACAAACTGAGTCCTGGGCCATCAACTGGCTGGAATCTTACTTCACCAATAGGATGCAGTACACGGTATATAATGGTGTAGCTTCCTCTCCTTTGCTAAATGAAACCTGGTGTTCCTCAGGGTGCTGTTCTCTCGCCGTTTCTCTTTTCCTTCTTCTTACATGACTTACTTCTCTCAGATGAAATCAACTTCGTCAAATATGCAGATGACCTGACTGTTTCGCTTCCCGTTAAGCCTCAGTCAGACTGTTTCAAATTAAATAGCTTCCTGTCGAACATCAGTTAGTGGTCTAAACTAAATGGTCTCATGCTGTATCCCTAAAAAAAATGCCAGACTATTGACTTCTTCTTTAGGCATAAACGAGATCTACAAAAACTAGTGAGCACTCATGATGCCTGTAGCATTGAGGGGACTATAATTGAAAGTAAGTCTAGCGCAAAATACCTCGGATTAGTTCATCTTCCGACCTTACTTGGTCATTTCATATCCAACTGATTTCCACGAAAGTGTTTCGTCTAACCTACTAATTTAAGAAACTCGGACTAACTGGAGTCACTCAACCTCTGCTTTCACAATTTGTCAACTTTCGTATTTACCTATTCTACTTTACTGATCCCCGTTCGTCTTTCCTGGGTTACTGAAAAAAAGGATTATACCATACTGAGAAGGATGTTGAAGGTAGTTAGTAGGACTAGCGGTGTAAAACTCAGTCAGCTTGTCACTACATTAGTAGATAAGCATCTGAATACATGCGAAAAATGGTCTAAAACCATACTCTCCGACCCTCAACACCCCCTCTATTCCCAACTCTCTCCTTGCATCTCATCAGGTAGAACCAGAAATCAGTACAAAATTATATATGCTCGTACAACCAAGTATAGGAACTCAACGATAGCATATTTGGCCCGTGTTTTAAGTGACAGAGACAATGTTAAGCGCCAAACCTATGACTTGCTTTGTTGTTAATAACATAATTTTGGCCCTTGTTATTTCCCCCTTATACTCTCTTATTTGTACTCTATAGTGAACAACCTTCTTAAACATACTTAGCTACCTAAAATTATTATCATTGGCTCACTTTTTTGTACCTTACTCTATTCCCTCTTTTGTGTATCTACTGGTCCCGAATATATTAGCACTATGAGTATTACTAAATTGTCCTGTCATTAACCATCATGTAATATTAGTTTTGTGGTTGTTCTTTGTTCGGCAATATTAACTGACAATCTTGTTTGTGAATGCCACTATCACCATCTTAAAAAATTTTATATTATGCAAGATTACTCACACTACCACTACAAACACTGGATTAAAGCTGACAACAAAAATAAAAACCCTGAAATGTTTATTTTATGATTGTTTAGTGTTGTTCAATCAAATTAACTGATCATCTTGGCTATAAACATTCTTAAGAACATCTCAATAATTTCTTGTATGATTATAGGTGTTACTGTTCACCACGCATACACATATCATAGCTTCTACTACCCAATACTGAAATATTTTTTTCATTATTGGTGTTTATCTTCCTTTCTACTTGGTATTTTTATTTGCATTTTTTTCTTTTGTTTTTTTGTTATTTCTGTGTTTCCTTTTTGGTTTATTGCTGTTTTTTCATATTTATTTATTTTTTGTAATACTCCTTTTAAATGTACGATGAAATTAGATGCAATATTGTAGATATGTGTGCTGAAAATTCCACACTGTACCACAAGTACTGTTTCTGGAATAAAAGCGAAATTATTATTATTATCCAGAAGTTTTCTTTTTATTATTAAATTTCCCTAAGCAAAGAGAATATGTTCACCAAACAAACTAGACAGTGAACTAATGCTTCTTGAAAAAGGCTTGAAAGAAAATGGTTACCCAGAAAAAAATTATCATTAACAAATATGGCAAGAATGAACTCAAGAAACTTGATCCAGCTACAGTCAGTAAGAAGCCTATTTTCATCAAACTTGACTACAAAGGCGACGACATTATGAGAATGGTAAATAAAAGATTAAGCGCAGTCCTGTCTAGGATGTATTCTGCAGCATTATTAGTCTCTCTACCCCGAACAACCTCCTCACATGTTACCTCCAACTGTGTATACCAATTCCCATGTATCTGCGGGAGCCGTTGCATTGGAAGGACAGAGAGGAGGCCTATGTCAGATTCCGCGAACATGTACCAAGAAGCCTCCAGTTAAAGGGACCGAATTGTTTAAGCTCTTCAATCGCCGCCAAACACCTGATTGACACAGGACACAGAGTAGATGTGCTGGAATCATTCAAAATAATTAACAAACAAAGTACCTCAAGTCTTCTCAGGTTCGCTGAAGCTATAGCAATAAAACGATTGAAGCCTGACTTATGTGTCCAAAAATAGTCGGTTGTTGAACCTCAATTACCCTGGTGACTCACTTCTTAGTAACTTTTTGTTTTCTAAATTTGTGAAATTGCCTTTTCACTCCACCCCCTCGCTTTATTTTTTCGCTTGACTCTCTTCTTGATCGTTTGAGTTCTGCTCATTGTATTACATCATCAACCCATCTGACCTCATGTGCACCGAAATTTTGATCTTCTCTTATATAATTACGTAACCATTACTACATTTCTTTTGTTATCACCTCAACAACACAACTGTCAATTAACTTTTGTCAAGTAACTTCTCTCTAACAATATATATATATATATATATATATATATATATATATATATATATATATGTCGAAACACTAGACACCTTGTAAATTGCAACGCCTTATTTCACTATGACGCTCTGAGAGTATGCTTGCTAATGGACAAAAGTTTGTTTAAGTTGTCTGTCTGTTTTCGACATAGAACTTTGCACCGATATGAGGCAGTTCAAGTCGCCACACTCCCTCCTTGTAGCAAACAAACCAAGAGAAGAAAGTACAAGAAAAGCATCATAGAGACAGTGAGCAGAGGTGTGAGACAAAGGAATAGTAATAACGAAGAACAATATAGTTTCATTGGAAATCATAAGTCACAAGGAGTGGATGCATCTGTGCCAGCCATTGAGAACGATTTTGACTCATATCACCAATTGTCTCCAACCACTGGTTTTTACCGTCCCGAGGACCCCAACCAGGAAGTACAGAACTTCCCACGTGGCTGGCTTAAACTAACTATTGTGGATTTCATTGGCTGATGAGGCCATATTTTGGTTTGACCGCCGCTAGCTCTTTTCCAGCCTGACCCTATATTCGCTAACATTGCTCGCGTCGAGGGAGGCGATGACTTGGCATACGTAACACATGTCCTAACCATCTCAGTCTATGTAACTTCACAACTTCGTCGATTGATTTCCCCAGTTTACCTAGAACTTGACGCCTAACTTCAATGTTGCTCACCTTATTGAAGTTAAGTTTAAGTTGTACACTTTTTTTATTTGATTAAAGAATTCAGGTTGTACGCAGATGATGAGAACCGACGAAATAAAATGGATCTAGATTATTCAGCGCCAATGTGTCTTCTTTCTTTGTTCATATTATGTTATTATTATCATTTACTTTAGTTCCTAAAGGAATGTAGGATTTACGCCGCACATCTCAATTGCGCCCAGTCCTCTGCCAAGGTTTTCACCTGGCTCCACTTCTGTCCACATGCTTTCCAACTACTGTTCACATAACCTCCTTCATGTCACCCTCGCACTGACAACCAACTCGTCGCTTCCCGTTCGGGTTCCACTCGAGCGATGGTCTGGCATGTGATATCACTCACTTGATGGTTTGTTTTCTCAGAGTATGCCCCATCCACCTCTATTTCTTCCTACATGTTTGTTGTACCATTGGTCCTTGGTTGGTTGGTTCGCTCCCAGAGATTCCTACCTGTTGCTGATCTTTTTCAGTGGCCATCTGATCTTGATTAGTATTGAGCAAAGACAGCTGTTGATGAAGGTCTGTAGTTTTTTTTGAAGTGCCCTTCACATAACGCGCCAAGTATCTGATCTGTATAGCAAGTGGCACTGACTTCACATTGGAGTTTAAAATCCGGATCTTATTTTACATACTGAGTTGTGCTGTTGACCTCTACACAGACTTGGAGGACGAGTGTTTTCACACTTAAAAAATGATGATTTACACTTAGGTGAATAATATGTTTTATTTGATCTGGAAGCACATTTAAGCTCCATATGTTATGCATGCGTAGCTACCAGACTTGTCAACTGAAATAATCACAACCAGTGGCGTCCATCAGAGAACCCCACTATCCTCAGTTTTAGATTAATTTCATCATCGACATAATTATAGAATTGACCCTAACTGACTTCAGCGACTTAGGACTTCACATATTATCATGGAAAAGTTTTCCGGTTTAATAAGGTAAGTAATTTTGACGTTAGGCGTAGAGTGTTGAGAGAGAAGGATGGACTGTATGACTGAAATCCTCGTGATATTAAAATCCATAATGGTTAGAGGACTTAGTAGTGACGAGGCAAAAAAAAGTGAGTAAAGCAAAATGATGAATACAACACTTACAAATAATCGTCTTCAAGAGATGCGTCAGATTTCTTCTCTGTAAAAGGTGCTGGCACAGGTAAATTCATACGCTTTTCTGCAAGATTCTTTTCTTTCGCCTTTAAGGCTTTGACACGTTCTAATCGCTGTAGACCGAAATAAATATACACACGTACATGTAAACATATTTATATTAAATATTACAGAATTCAACATCACAACAAAATATTGGTAATATGCGTATACACACTGTTTAGGCTAAATTACACATTAAACGACTCATAAACTGGATTTATAAAACCAATAATGGAATTTAACGCATTTCTAAAAGCAGAGAGTGCATCGGTGGCACAGAGGTTAGGACGCTCGCCGAACATGCACATGGTCCAGGATTCAATCCCCGGCCACAGATGCACTCTTTTACCTCACCAAACCAGTCATAAAGCTGGTAAAGAGGAAAGGTTGGGCATGAGGCTAACAATCCCACCTCACCCATCCTGTAAAAATAATCACCACTGCTACAGAAACTTCAAGCCTCTAGCTTGAATCCCCTTATGTTTCACTGGAACGTGAAAGAATAAAAAGAAAGCAGAGATGAGAAAAGAACTAGGTGTGTTAGAGAACAAATGGAAAACTAAGAAGTTACTGGGCAGATCATGTTTTCGCCTAGTTTGGGACGCTTCAATAGTACATACCTAATGGGGTTCGAATCCAGGACCTCCATGTTACAAGGTGGCTTTGTAGGCCATCCAGACACTGAGACCCAATCCAACCCCAGGGTTCGAACTCTGGTGAGTGTGTACTGATAAGGAGTCCCAAACTAGGACGATGGCACTTCTAGTACTCGCTAGTTTTCAATGGTTCCGTAACCGATGCCAACTTGTCATCAAACCAGTAACCAGTCAAATCCTCGTAAACAAACCAACACGCTTGAAAAAAAACAACTGTACAATGAAACGAATGTAGGGAAACTGAGAGATGGAAGTGGATTGATTAAAATCAAGCCGATAATTGACGCCTCAAAAGGGACTGTCGACAGGGAGTTTGCATACCTGTCTTTCGGCCGATGGGTCCCAAGTATGAATCCTACTCAGTCTAAATCAGTTTGTGTGCCAAGTGAGTAATATAGTATGACCAGCCTTCACACACACATTAAGTATGGTTCACTGGATATATCTCAGGACGAGAGGCATACACGGAAAGTTAATAATGATGCTACATACACCAGTGATCACATCAACCAGCAGTGCCTGCTAGCCAGATCGTTGAGGCTTCTAAAAACAATGGATGACCGCTTCGCCCGTTCGGCGTCGAGGTCAACAGTGGTGTGTATCCGGTTTGACACAGCTCAGAGAAGCATCCAAACTGTTGCGAATTCGATTCAATAATATTACGAATTCGCGTGGGAGGGGGCTTGGGGGCGCTAGCTACAAAATTCACTTGGTTTGAACTGACTCGCCTGTCTGTGAATTAAGCCAGAGCGAGTATATACATCACTGACGAACTCGGCCGCAAACGAATGAATCGGCCATCCGGCCATCTGGTTGACCAGTAAGCACTACTTGGTTGGTATGAATGCCATCCAGTTATTCATACCAATCAATCAATCAATCAGTTATTAGTTCATAGTATCATGCGTTTAATCTTGCCTTCTTGAGTGGTATTTATGTTATGAATCAGATCACGTGTTGTGACCTGAATAATTTCAAAATGAAACTGGTGAAGCGTCTAACCTCGAACTGTATAATTTACAAATAGCCGATTAATTCGCAAACTAAAAATCTAATTCAGCGTTACCAATGACCTTTAACTAACTAATCCGAAACACCTAACTTGTGATTCTAGATAAGGAAGTCCAGCGAAATAACAATGATTTTATTTATTCTAATTGAATTTTTTTACTTTCCCGTCGATTGATTGAACCGAAGTGTTTGGTCACACGTTGACATGTCGGCTTCTTGTGCAGATGCTTCGACGACGTCTGGGCATTTAATTAGTATTTAGTTGGTGGATGATGACTAGCAGTGGAATCGAGGATGCTCATTTCACCCTATTTAGGACTCGACAGCTAGTGGATGTACCTGCATTTCCCAGTGAGTGATGATGTTCCCACCGAGGCTCGAACCGAGTGCCCATAGTTTCAAACACCAAAGCGTTATCCACTAGACCACTTGGGCAACGAGAGTCATATTAATTTAATTGCATTTTTGATTTTCCCGTCGACTTATTTATTTATTTTATTTTGATTACAGCTTGATTACACACCGTATTTTTGGTACAAGTACGGAGTTTTCAGCATGGATATCGGCAGCCCAAATTTTGCAGGCCAACCATAGATATCAGGTGTGCGTCGGCAGGGGATCGAACCTTGGACCATGTGCATGGTCGGCAAGAGTCCTAACCACTGTGTCATATGTTAGAGAAAGATACCCTATGTAACAGTTTTATGCAGTTTTTTTATGCTTTTTTTCCATGAATATACGTTTTCCTTCATCAAAAATCCCTCTTCCATGTGAATGGTCCGTTGACGATAGATAGTTCGCTGATTGGTAGTTAGTGGTGCTTCAAGTTTAACTCTGTCCATTATTTTAATTACAACACAGTTGCCAAATACCTAATATATATATATATATATATATATATATATATATATGTTAGGTATTCCCAAATCGGGAATCGGGAAGGCGAGAAACACATTCATCAACCTGAAACCAATCTGGAAATCTTCGTCACTCAGCCAGCACCAACAACAAAATTCAGTCAGATTTTCAGTACAAACGTCAAGTCAGTTAGTTCTTCTATACGGATAAGACAGACAAAGAATACTTCCAAAAGGTTGCAGACCTTTATTAACAACTGTCTTCGCTCTATACTGGTGGTCGGACCGGAAAGAATCACCAACAAGAAACTATGGGAACAAACAAAACAAGAACCGATCGCCGCCCAACAAATACGCAGGAGAAAGTGGAGATGGATTGGACACTCGCGGCTGAGGCCGTCGCTGGGTGACATCACGCGCGCGTCAGGCCATTGCTCGAGTGGAACCAGGCCGAAAGGGAAGGACGCGGCGAGTGGGTCGTCGGTGCAAGGGTGACATGGAGGAGATCGTGTGAAGAGGAGTTGAAACAATATGGACTAACATGCATGGATGCAGGTGAAAAGTACAGCAGAAGGAAGACAGAAGCAAGTGGAGACGTGCAGTTGAAGTCCTATGTTCCACTAGGAACCCAAGGGAGCAATAATATATATATATATATTTCAACCAGGCCCTAATCAAATCAAATGAAGCAAATATATCATCAGAGAGGTGTGGTGTTTTACTCTCCACAGAGGGGGAGGGAGAGAAAGAGAGAAAAAAGGGACTCTGCTTACCTCTCGTGCTAAGCGAAGACCACGTTCCCATGGTGTTTCGTCTTTTTTCACCACGGTATCCAGTGTTACTTCGACCTGTAAAACGGTAAAAAAAACTTTAAATCGGTAGAAAAGCGAAAATAATACAAAACTGTTTAGTTTTGGTTTTTTTTTAATGCAAATAGGCATAGAGAATCTGGAAATATTAGACTGAAAGGCAGTAGCATATCCTGTCATTAAAAAATAAAAAGAGCACTACATAGGTGGAGAACACACTACCCACAAATATTTTTTTTCATTAATTCAATAATGTTAGCTAACACATAGGAGTAAGTTGGAAAGGAATTAAAAATGTTTTAATCAAGACATGGTATCGATATCCCTGAAGCGATCTGGACTGCTGCACTTTTATGCTAAGCTATATGTTGAATAAACAATCAGTCAGTCTTTTTAGTGACGTAATACTGACTGACTGAAAGTGTCAATGTGGAGCCTGGAAGCGAAATTGCTGCAGTGTTTGGATTTGGAACGGGGACTTTAATTTGTTTAATCTAGATTTCAAGAAGATGCATCTTGTTCACAGATAACTGACAAGAATTAAACTGTATTCTAAGTTGAGAAGTATATATCTTCTGAAAATGCGAAATGTCCTCTTAATGCACCTAATAATATGTATCATAAATCCCGACCGAAAGCTGCTACCTTGACGTGGTGGTCAGGCTTGAACACCGCAATGACCTATTCAAGCTATACTGGCTGAGACTTATGTCTCTTGAGGTGCAACAAAAAGCAGCTATCCAATCCAACATCATGATAAATACAAAATCACAAAATTTCATGCCGGATCGGCCGTGGCCCGGATTAACAACGACCGCGCTTCCTGCTGCCGTGTCACAGGGCAGGAGTGATAAATATGCTACTGAGACACACACCAAACAACAAAGAACAAACAAAAGCAGGCCGCGTGTGACCGGCCTGGCTCAAGCAGTTGTCCCCTGGGCTCTACGATCACGCAACCAACTTCCACGTTGTGGGCAGCCGGGAATACACTCTAGACTCTAGATACATAAACTCTAGTCAATAGGTCATGGGTGTTCAAAACCTACTGCACCTATCACAATATGAATGGTCAAACAGTGCTACTAAGTTGTATTAGCCACAACGAACTGATTGGCGATGAAATCTCAGCACGGATCCAAAAAGCTCGAGCTGCTGCTCCAGCTGACTTACACCATCTCTGGCGTAGGCGTGACATCCGGTTATCAACCAAGGGACGCGTGTACTGCTCAGCAGTTCGCTCCGTTCGTCCTTCTCTATGGCTCTGAAACATGGCCAATACGCGTTGAAGACATGAAAAGGTTGACTGCTTTCGATCATAGATGTCTGCGATCTCTGTCTCACGTCAGGTGGTTTAACAAGGTAAGTAATGTTGACGTTAGGCGTAGAGTGTTCGGCAGCCAAAGAGGGAAAATCAATCGATGAGGCTATAAAGTTACATAGACTGAGATGGCTAGGTGACGTGGTGCGCATGCCTAACCATCGCCTCCCCTGCCCGACGGGCATTACTAGCTGATATAGGTGGTTCAGGTTGGAAAAGAGTAAGTGGTGGCCAAACAAAAACATGGCCTCATCAATCCATGAAATCCTTGACAGTTAAACTGAGTCCGTCAGGTAGGGAGATGCAGACTTCCGGGTTGGGGCCCTCGGGGCTGACTCTAAGAATCAATGGCTGGAGACAATAGGTGGTGACATGGCTCAAAATCGTTGTCAATGGCCAGCGAAGATGTATTCAGTCTCTGTAATCTTTTATATTCCTTTCTACTACATTACCCATTCTGTTTCACTCTTATACTTGTCAAACTCTATTGATTCTCTTCACTCATCTTGATGTCTACCTTTGTGTGCTATTTGGAACGTGGCAACTCGAACTGGTGCACTTGGGTGCCAAGTTTTAAGTTGAATCCAGACAGACAGACAATGAACCAACCAAACACTTATTACCTACCAAGTAATAGGAAGAAGGAAATGACGATGAATTGGAAATTTGCTCAGAAGCCTACTAGACATCACGCGCCAGAGAGAGGCCTTCAAGTGGAACCCGGAAGGGCGTACATGGAGGATGACATGGAGGAGACCGCACGAGGAAATGAAAACTTATGGGCAATCGTAGAGCCAAATGGAAAGGATAGTGGAGAATCGGATGAAATGCTACACTCAGAACCCAAGAGAATATTAAAAATGTCTTACACGGTCAGTATGGCACTCTTAATAGTATATATGGCAGGGAACTCGGGTGTTGGGGGGGGAGGGGGATTGCACTTATCCCACTCTAACAATAACGATGAATAAATTTGGCAAGAAGCTACTACTACTACTACCACTAGACACCAGAGAACTCAGAGGTATTTAACAGTAAAAATTAAGATGAAGTTCATCAGCAGCTCAGGTGCTCGACAAATGGGTCGTGAGTTAAGGACTCGGCTTCAGTAGTCAAGCACCATTATGAACCTCTATCTTTTAAGTATGGTTCACAGTTAATCTGTACGGATGGTCAAGTTACATTAATGTTATGCACTCAATAAAAACTAAAACACACAATTGTGACAGTAAAATTTTCAAAGTATAAGTCAAAAAGCTTTTTCCTACATCGAACATAAAACATTGTATTGTATATGCAACTGTGAGCGGTTTAGATGCATTTATCTTTATTTATTACGCAAAATTAGAGTAACAACACCTATTGCTACGAATCAGTTGTTGTAGACTGGCAGTCAGAAAGCTAGAAAGCAATCATAGTAGCGCATATGTATGCCGTATTAGTTACTGGAATTCTGAGGATCTTCAATGCTATCTATTTAATTACTTTATCCACACACATATATACTTTTGTTCACTATGACACCACTAAATCCCTGTTCCCTTATCCAGTAAATGCTTTCCTGAGATGTAACAACTTGGATTGATATACATCTATACAAAGTCGCATCTTGACTTGCAAGCCAACCATTAAAACTTTGCACATCCAGTCCTCTACATGAAGATCAGAGCCAAGAAACGACACTATCTTTTCATTTCTGGATACAAAAGCCGTATATCAGAATTTTCATGTTGAATAGAGCAGCTAAAATGCAATAAACACTGTCTTTAGTGTTCTTGACTGATACCTGCTACCCTGACACAGTGGTCGGGTTTGTATGTCCCAAAGATACAAGGAACAACATTGACTGTAACGTTGATGCAGGCCCTAACATACAATAAAAGTCATTCTAGTGTTGGTTTGTAGAGATCTGATTGGTTACAGGATTTTCATGATGATCTGATATTAGTTAGAGAACCATTGGAAAACCTGGGAGCACTGGACAGCTGTTTCATCCTAGTTTGGCCTTGTAACCAGGTCCTGGGTTCGAATCCCGGTGGGTGCGTACTGCTGAAGAGTCCCAAACTAGGACGGAGGAAACAGCTGTCCAGTACTCCCAGGTTTTCCAATGGTTCTCTAACTAATGTCAGATCATGATGAAAATCCTAAAAGTCATTCTGATAGCGACCAGACTAAAAGCAGTTACCACCACAGACTCCCGACCGAAAGCTGCTACCTTGACGTGGTGGTCGGGCTTGAACACCGCAATGACCTAATCAAGCTATACTGGCTGAGACTTATGTCTCTTGAGGTTCTACCATGCCAGGCAGGTTGTTTGGATAGCGGTTAAACAAAAAGCAGCTACCTCATCCAATACCATGATCCAAACAAATTCACAAAATTTCATGCCGGATCGGCCGTGGCCCGGATTAACAACGACCGCGCTTCCTGCTGCCGTGTCACAGGGCGGGAGTGATAAGTATGCTACTGAGGCACACAAAACAACGAAGAACGAACAAAAACAGGCCGCGTGTGACCGGCCACAAGCAGTTGTCCCCTGGGCTCTGCGGTCACGCAACCAACTTCCACGGTGTGGGCAGCCGGGAAGTAACAATCGCCCTCACAATCCAAAACGCACACAAAACCTCTCTAATCCTCACTTATCTTTGTCTTCATCTTCATCTCTATTACCTTACCTTCCCCCAGTGATGCAACTCCTCTACTTGATGGCTCCTCACTCCCTCTTCACTCTGTGTCCACTAAAAACGACGAAAGCCAAAAAACCACCACGGATAGTCTCCTAAAGCCACGCCACCAATTTCATATAGGAGCATTTAATGTAAGGACACTTTGCCAAATAGGACAACAAGCATCACTAGCTAAGACCCTGGCATCTCGAGCCATTGATGTATGTTGTGTTTCAGAAACACGCATACAAGACCCAAGTGTGGTTATTCACCTAACCCCACCTGGCCAACAGGATGAATCTTCAAAATTCACCTTGAGGGTGTCAGGAGATGCCACAGCTAGTTCACGGGGATTAGCTGGCGTAGGGATAGCTCTGAGTACTAGGGCAGAAAAGACATTGCTTGACTGGATCCCAGTAGATAGCCGAATGTGTGCTGTCCGTCTGAACGGATCAGTAAGAAGGAGAAAGGACTGCACTACTCGCCGATGCCTTTTCGTAATCTCCGCCTACGCCCCCACTGACTGCAGTTCGGATGAAACGAAGGATGAGTTCTACCAAAAGCTGTCTAGTTTGGTGAGAAAGGCTAAACGCTCAGATATAGTCGTTCTAGCTGGTGACTTCAACGCTCAAGTAGGGAAATTGTGTCAATCTGAGAAGGATGTCGGTGGCACCTATGGAGTTCCGTACCAGCGAACCGACAACGGTGACCGTCTCCTACAGTTCTGTTCAGATAATCATTTGTTTCTTGTAAGCACTAACTTTAAACACAAGGAGAGACACTGTTTAACCTGGCGACCCCCATCATCAAACCAACGCTGGACACAAATAGACCACATAGCAATAAGCTATCGTTGGCGTGGGTCGGTAGGAGATTGTCGCTCCTTCTGGAACACGTGTGTAGATACCGATCATGCACTGGTCCGGGCTCGTGTGTGCTTACGACTGAACGGACGTAGGAAACAGCTGGCGGTAAAACCATTACGCCCCCAGCTCGATCAGGAAACTAAATCCCTATTTGAGGAAGAACTAGCTAAACGCATATCTGAATCCGACAGCTGTGCTCACCCTGGAGAAGCCTGGAAGAATATTCAGTCAGCTATAGATACAGCTGTAAAAGCTGTGAATAAGACAAATCCAAAGGTGAGTAAAAACCACTGGATTTCGACTGCCTCATCCGAACTGATAGATGCTAGAAGACTTATTCCGGCGAGCTCCGAATTCAATGAGGAGCGAAAGCTGCACAAAAGGAAACTTACTAAAAGTCTCCGCAAGGACCGTGAACAGTGGTGGGTGACAAAGGCGAAAGAGATGGAAAAAGCATTGGCGATAGGCAACACTAGGCAACTCTTTAGACTCATCACAGAATCGGGCGGGAAAAGGCAATTCATAAGTGAGACTATTTCTGAGAAAAATGGCTCCTTAATTAGCTCTCAGGATAGACGCCTTGAACGCTGGAAAGAACACTTTGAGGAACAATTTAACTTGCCTACAGCCACACTGAACCTCCCCGCCATCCACCACGTACCCGAATGGGATATAGACACTGGTCCGCCGTCTGTAGGTGAGGTTACAAAAGCTATCAGTAATTTGAAACGAGGCAAAGCGGCAGGACCCGACGGAATTATTCCGGAGGTGTTTAAATATGGGGGTGACATACTAGTTTGTAGATTAACTGAGGTACTAGGCAAAGTCTGGGAATCAGAGACAGTACCATCAGACTGGGGTAAGTCACTCATTATACCGATATTCAAGAAGGGAAACAAGTCCTCGTGTGATAATCATAGGGGGATCAGCCTAACGAACATAGTCTCTAAAATCCTAGGCTCAGTAATCATGCATAGACTAAGCAGAACTCGGGAGGAACAGACAAGGGAAAATCAAGCAGGCTTTAGACCAGGTAGAGGGTGCATAGATCATATCTTCACTCTTCGACAGATTCTAGAACATAGACACACTTTTCGGCGTCCAACAATTGTCATATTTCTTGACTTGAAGGCGGCCTTCGACTCCGTGGACCGAAAAGTACTATGGCAATGTCTGACTGTGAAGGGAGTGCCAAGAAAGTACATTGCACTAATCAAGGCACTCTATTCAAACTCACGTAGTCGTGTAAGGGCTTATGGGGAATTGTCATCTGAATTAGTAACAACCAGTGGTGTCCGACAGGGATGTCCACTTTCCCCATTTCTGTTTAACTTCATCATAGATATGCTAATGGAAGTATCCTTAACTGAACGTAGTGACTTAGGAATCGACTTGTTACCAGGGAATAATCTAATGGACTTAGAATATGCAGATGACATAGTCCTGTTAGGGGAGGATGCTGACAAAATGCAGAGTCTTCTGAACACCTTGAGCAGCAATCTTCGTATGTTTGGCATGCGATTCGCCCCTACAAAATGTAAGATGCTGCTACAGGACTGGACGACGTCAACCCCTAACTTAGTGATAGGGAGTGAAGTGATAGAACATGTTGACCACTTCACCTACTTGGGAAGTTGTATTAGCACCAACGGACTGATTGGCGATGAAATCTCAGCACGGATCCGAAAAGCTCGAGCTGCTTTCGCTGACTTACACCATCTCTGGCGTAGGCGTGACATCCGGTTATCAACCAAGGGACGTGTGTACTGCTCATCAGTTCGCTCCGTCCTTCTCTATGGCTCTGAAACATGGCCAATACGCGTTGAAGACATGAAAAGGTTGACTGCTTTCGATCATAGATGTCTGCGATCTCTGTCTCACGTTAGGTGGTTACACAAGATAAGTAATGTTGACGTTAGGCGTAGAGTGTTGGGCAAAGAGGGAAAATCAATCGACGAGGTTATAAAGTTACATAGACTAAGATGGCTAGGTCACGTGCTGCGCATGCCTAACCACCGCCTCCCCCGACGGGCATTGTTAGCTGATATAGGTTCAGGTTGGAAAAGAGCCAGTGGTGGCCAAACAAAAACATGGCATCAATCCATGAAATCCTTGACAGTTAAACTGAGTCAGGTAGGGAGATGCAGACTCCCGGGTTGGGGCCCTCGGGACTCTAGGAATCAATGGCTGGAGACAATAGGTGACATGGCTCAAAATCGTTGTCAATGGCGCAGATGTATTCAGTCTCTGTAATCTTTCATATTCCTTTCTACCATTACCCATTCTGTTTCACTCCTATATTTGTCAAACTCTATTAATTCTCTCCACTCATCTTCTTGTCTACCTCTGTGTGCTATTTGGAACGTGGCAACTCGAACTGCTGCACTTCGGTGCCAAGTTCTATGTTGAATCCAGACAGACAGACCACAGACTAAGTCGATCGAAATTTATAAATTGGGGCTTTGAGGGCAAAGTCATGACGGCAGTAAGGTGTTGACTCCGGACGACCAGAAAATCAGCTATGTTACCTCTCCATTCATGTAAGAGCACACAAAGCTTTCTAGATCATTATACACCTTCATTTTTCTTTTGCTTTATTCCTAATGCTGATACGATTCCACAAGTAGCTTCTTCACTTTCTCTTAACGCTGAGACCATTAGTAACGACCGTAGCTGGAAAAATACCACTGACAGTCTGTTAAAATCACCCAGCCAACTTCATGTTGTTGATTTCGCTGTTTTTCATCTGAAAAGAGGCTAAGCAGCCGGACATGGTGGAACGACTCCACAGTTATTTAAGCTTGGTGGCGAACTATCCGTTACTCTGTCTTTAGTGAATGACCTTGTACTGGTTGAGTTTCAATGTGGGACTTAGTACAGAAGTGCGGCTATTCAAGTTCCCACACACAGAGGAAGCAAACAATCAAAAGAACTATAATTAGAAGAAATGTAAGGAAGAAAGAATAATAACAAAGAAACATGAATGACCTGATGTTATGCCTATGGAAGGGACTGTGCAAACTGGTAGTTGCTCAATGAGCTTTTTTTTATCCATCCTGAGATATAATCAGTAACCAGTTCACTAGAAGTGGTGCAGATTTACAAATAAGTAAACTCACCTACGTACACATCCGACCACTTCATTACTTTCCTCTCATTTAGGAACCTATGCGGATTTGTTTTTAGTACCATGTTACACTTCACAGTAGTGCAATAAATGCTTAATATACTCTGGTTTAACGTCACTGTGTTCAAAGACTGCAATACAAGCTGAAGTGGAAATTCCATGAAGTCACCTCCGTAAGTAAATCTATAGAAAAGTTCACGAGAAATTTTGACAAGGGAAATATACAACACATGTACAATTGTTGTCACTGGACAAAAACTCCCCAAAAGTTCTTATACGACTACATGAGTTAGAGTAGAATACCTCGATAAGCATAAGACACCTCCTTCCCTCCTTCCTACCATAAAAACCTTCGATCGAAAGAGTTGATTGCCATCTTCAGGCCAAGAAATACCATAAGAGTCAAATACCAATAAACATGTCAAAGGGTAAGACTTTATTAGTATAAACTCTTCTGGATGCAAAACTTATCGAGTCCTGTCATGTCGACTTCTCCCAACTATCTTCAGTCTTTGTCAGGGCGAAAAGCCTGAAGATTGACTCAACGAAGAACTAGCATAGAAGTGAAGCATTTCAAGTTGCAATACCCGAAAGAACTACAATGAATGGAGGTGAACCCGATAAAGAATAACAATGAGGAGAATAATGAGAACCTGACTTTGCAGATTAATGCCATGTATGGATTAGGCCATCCCAAACTCTCCTCTGAACTAATCCTGCATCAGCTAACAGCCCAACAATGAAGGCGATGGCTAGGTATGGGTGTCTAACGTTATCGAAATGGATTTCACTGTAATGAGAGGATCGTCCTGAATGAAGCTACACGAAACTAATACATTCTATTACCATGAAGCAGCAACTTGTCAAATTTCTTCATCTGTTTTTACACAAGATCGGATATACCTTCCTTGGGAGAAACAACATTATGGTGTATACATATATGTTCGATGGAGTCTTTTCTAGACACAGGCATAAAACCTTCATAAAAATCAGGACACAAGTGTATCGACGATGTTCTTTATACCGACCATTTATTAACAAATGCAGGTGCATGAGCTATCTACTAGTCTGAAAGCATAGGAAAGAAAGTCAAATGATATCCAGTCATGCTGAATTTTCTACTCCATGGCTCAATGAGATTTCCACATCATTTGGTATACTAGCCATAGAGACAGCTCGCTTCAGGCTTGTGTCTTTCAGAGATACAACATACATACAAACACCTGAGATACAAAAAGCTTTGCTAATAAAACACATTTTTCAACTCATTTCTAGGCTTCAATGTTATTATTTTCAGACTGAATCTGAGGAATATGTTTAGAGAGACAAGAAATAATGCTCATTGGCATATTTCGTTAGCAATCAACGCAGAGTTAGCAGACAAAGGAAATGAAATGGAAATATCAACAACAAGCGTTAGGTAGTGAAATCCAGAAATAACTTGAAACTATAAGCACCGCCCCATCATGTCTTATCTAATCCTTGGGTAAAATGACTACCTAAACGTTTCTGATGAGTGCACGTAAGTCTTCCACTACTGACAATGTACCTGAACACACTGGTATGAATGAAATTTTAAAGCTGAGCTCCTGAAGCAAATGGTATAACCAATGTCCAGCTTTTATACACACAAAGTTAATAGCCACAACTAAATCCTTCTGCAGTGCATACACTTCCTGACTACAACCACGAAAAATAGAGCTGAGGGATTACTCAAATACCTAAGCTACAAACACAAAGTTGAATGAAAAGCCAGAGCCAATAATTGTATATGACAAGGAGATATACACAAAACTTCCGAGACTAAAAATATTTACCTCATCAATTTCCGACTGCACTTCCCCTTCTTCAGAGCTATCCCCATCCTTGCTGAATTCAGATTCATCACTGCTTTTCATTTCACCCTCATCAAATTCACTGGATCCAGAACTCTTACCACTTGTGGAAGATGCTGCACCTTCCTCATAATCTCTCTTATTGAGTTTTGCGGAGGATAACTTATTAAATTATTAACCAGATAAAGATAGAAAATACTTCTAAGCCATAAGAGTTCAGAGGTAAGTTTTCATCTTCAAAATCAAGCTGCTCTTGGTGGTCACTTTCGAGACAATGAAGAGCGGAAATAGCTGCAGAAATGTCACTAAAACAAGGAAAACTAACCAGCAGGATCCATGATGCGAACAAGGTTAACCAACCCGCTCACTTCAGGGTCATATATCAAAGGAATCATAGCCTTGGTGCCGTGACAGAACAAAACCTTATTTAACTCACTAGGAGAAGTGATATACAGGGCAACAGTTAAAAATAGACACCAAAGTCAGATGACCTCGAATCTACCAATTATATTCTTCTTGCCATTTATTTTAAAATAAGTGTGTTTATATAATAAAAATGAATTATACAGGGTATATATCTCTAAGATGCTGTAAAACTGGTCCCAGTTACTCATGTCACACTGTTGTCTATACAAAAAACCTAAGTGGCTGTATATCATATCGAGAACCATCTACTATGATAATACGTTTTTAAAACAATTAGTTCCCTTAATGAATTTAGATGAAGCAATAAGAAGACGTAATGTATTTGCGCAACATATTTCGAACAATCTGATCACACATGGACTTGTAATAGGAATATATATGAAATTAACAAAGAGGTAAGAGGTGAGAAAATAGACTTGGGTCAAGTCAAAAGGACATATTCAAGGTCAAAATTGCAATGAAGAGCACTAAACCAAATAGCAGAGATAATAGAACATCTACTATGGTATCAAAACAAAGTTTACCAAAGAAGGTTTAATGTGATGACGAATTGTTTTTGGACGCATAAAGGTGGCTTGAACCTTCTAACTGCATGAGCTTCCACAAACTTTATGTAATAATGTATATTTTCATATAAACATAAATTTACGTGAAAATCCACGCCATTTTTACAGGCACGATCAAGGATGATATAATGTCAAATCGTAGATTTTCTACAACTTAATAATGTTTCAATACTTAAATATTTGATATATATATATATATACTGATTGTCTGAACCAGGCCGTATAGTTATTGAATTGTACAGTTGTCCTCCAGGTTGAGCGGGAAAATCGACTTCGCTTCGTTTTCATCCCGTGATTGTAGAAATAGGCTACAGTTAGTTTCAAGGTCATGATGAGTTCCTGCGTCGGCTGGTTATATGTCTTCGTGAATTCGATTTCCATTGAATTTTGAAGGTTTTTTTGTATGTTTTTCCCATTTTGCAGTGTGTAGATCAGTTTATGTCACTGGATACTACTATTAAGGTGATTTTTAACCTAAAGTTCCCAGTTTTTATGTTGGTAGTCAAGGGTTATGGTGAACCTGCAATGATTCAGGCAAATAAGGTATACTTTTCTAATATATTAACCTTATTCAATAAGTAGACTGCTTAACCGTTCTGCTATTGTTTGAGATTAAAACTAAGAGCTGGTTTCTTATCATGATTGAAAGTAAATGGAACCGACTGGGTTTGCTTATCCGCTCTGTTCCATCCCTCACAGGACAAATTAGGCTCTGACTAGCGTTATTTCAGAACTAAAAGACTCAATTCAGCACCTAGGTATCATTGTAAGCATGACCAGCGTTATTTGAGAAAATAGTGGGTAAATAAGAGCTTCAGTTACCATAAAAAAACCTTATCGATGGGTAGGTTAGAATAAGTTTATGAATATAGTAGGCTTGGTGGTGTTGCGGTCTAAGTGATAAATCATATTAATCACCGTTATTCAGGATATGCTATGAACCGCAAATGCTCGGCTGAAAAACGTAGTAAATAAGGCACGGATCGTTTTAATTTCTAAGTGACTTTCAAAGCGCTCTCTTAACGAAACAATCAACCAAAGTATTCTTTAAACTGTTCGTCTTAGCCTTTTGAAAGGAAAGGAAGTGTAACAGCAGTTTATACATACATGTTTATATTCTGAATACAAATGGAAATAAAAAGGTAATACAAATATTTTCACAAGAATAATCGATTAACAGGGGCACGTCGTAATCTTAAAGTTGGTTACGGTTCATTTGCCAGCAAACTGTCCAACTTTCTGGTAAACTCCGCTATTTCCAGCAGTGCAGCATCCGGATTTCTTCGGTTCACACTGTTGAGACGATATCTCAAACGTTCATAAGCATTTCGATACGCGTTGTTTGGTTCCGGAATTAACCGGATGGCCGTAGGAATGTTGTCCGTTGTGTTATATAGACGTATCCACCTCTCACTATTCCTCAGAATATCTAAGAGTAACATTTAAAGAAATGGAACATACCATGTCAATGGAGTTGAAGATTGAACGATCAATTCTTGGTTGTTTGCTCAAAATCAACTTCCCCAATTTTCGCGGAGGCATCAATACGACAGTCATCGTCTCATCGGTCGCTGTTCAGAAAGAAGAGTAAAATATCGTCAGAAGTAATATAACGATTTATTATTGTAATATTTGTTTACAGACCTTAGTTCGCTTATTCCTTTTATATGTTGGTGTAACAGTACAGAAATATCAAACGGCAGATCGGTGTTTTGGTTTTTTCGTCCGTTATAACTAAGCGTTTCTGATATCTTCGAAGAACAGCGTGGACCCGAGCGTAGCGAGAGCTGGGCATTAACGGTTTATGAGACGTGATTGACAGTTTCTGACGATAGTGACAGTTTCTGACGATGGAAACAGATCTGGCGGATTGAAACAGTTGGTGAAAGTTTGGATAGTCGCCGTTCATCTTTCCTGGTGCCGGTCAAGTCCTCTTTGAACAAGCAATATCTGGAACATTTTTGGAATTGGGTCAGGTTCAACAATGCCTGGGTCAAAGAAGGGACAGAGTGTCTTGGATACAAACAGGAAAGTAAGTCATGGTGACTTGTCTGTTAATTGTAACGATGTGTCTGATGTTAAGCATGATATGGTTGATGTCACTGTTTCGCCGTTCAGGGATAATAGGTACATCAAACTCCCTAAATTTGAACCACGATGTTTTGATTGAAACCCGGCCGATTATTTACAGTTTGTTAAGGAGTTTGAGATCATGCTGAGTGGTTTTTTATTAAATGATGAATTGAAGTTAATGTATTTGATGAGATATTGCACTGGAGATGCTTCAAGAGCTATACAGTGCTGTAAGTTTATGAAGCCAAAGGAGGGCTACGATGAGGCTATGAGCATATTGCGCCAAAGGTTTGGAAGACCCTCGATGATTGCAGGGAAATTATTCGAGGCTGTTGAGGGTAATGGTGGTCAGTTACAGGATGACTCCCATGCACTCACTGAGTTTTTAGATAATTTGCTAATTTACAAGAATGGAATGATTTTGATGAATCGAATGAGTGACCTCAACTCGAGTTTTATACTAGAAGTAATAGCAAGACGCCTACCTACTCGACTGCAAAGGAAGTGGGTGAAGTTATGCTCCCGTATGGAGGATGAGGGTATCGAGCCAAAGTTTGATGATATCCTGAAACTGGTAAATACTAGTGTCAATCAATCTATGAGCAAGTTCGCCAGTCTATTACATCTCACCCCTAGAATAGAGCAGTCTGAGGGTAAAGTGCAATCATTGATGACGAGTAGACCTCAGAGAGGTGGATGTCGAGAAGACTCCATGATGTCTAGTAATGCATATAGACCTAGTGAGTGTAACAGGTTTCGTAGTACATCCTCAACAGATAAGTTACAAGCTGCAAGACAAACACGGTTTTGTTTTACACGTGTGCAAGAGGTGCATACAGAAGTGAACTGTGAACCTGTGAGCAAGTTCAGTGATAAGCTAAATGTAAACTCCAATCATGACTCCGAATTGTGTGACGATAACGGTGTTGTGAAGAAGTCTGTAGTTGCAACTGGTAAGCCGTTGTTGAATAGAGTGTCACAGAATATAGTTACTGCTTCAGTGTGCAGTTCTGACTTCAAAAGTTTACAAAGTATAACTAGTCAGAGTGAAGATATAGAACCTTTAATGATTTGTGAGGAGGAACCAAAATTGTCTACTTCTGTTATTAAAGAGTTTGAAAATGATAAAGTTGACGGTAAAGTGAATATTCGTGATAATGATCATGATACTTCACAGTTGTCTTTGGTTGATCATGATGAGATGGGGGATATGCCTACTACTGCTAAGTTCAACAAAGTTTCTGTACAACTTGAACGTGAAGTAGAAATAAATGCAGATGCAGTTGCAGAAGGCATGCATACATGTGAGACCGTCAGTGTAATTGATCAGAGTGAAGCCCACCTATCATCAGATGCTAGTACTAAACCTGAGCTGATAGTAAAAGACAGCAGTGGCGGTGGTCTTGCAGGTAGACAAATTTCTGAAAGCCAAGCAACAACACCTTTTGATCCACCGCTAACTTCATCAACTGATATCAATCAGTCGTCGTTGGTGCTGTCATCCACAATGAAACAGACACTCATGAACTCAAGTATCTTGTGCAATGACTATGATAGTATCAGTTCGTTTGAAAGGACGAATATCAATGGTCAGCTTAGTGAGGATAAGCCAAGTGTAAACGAGAGAGTAATTGTTAAATTGACTTGCATGAATGAAGGCATTTCTAGTTTCAAGTTACTATTTGAATGTTATTATCTTTGGTGTGAATTACTCTGTGCCTACGCTTGGTTGACCAGATATGTCGTGTGTTTGTTCGTCATCTATGTTCTACGATACAATGACATGGGCGTGTTACCGTTCAGATTTGAGTATATAGACGATAGAAGGAAATCAGCAAATGAACTCTGCAACGATTTTCCAACCTAGGGCGTCAACCTGAGAAGGGTTGTAGGCGTACTGCTGTAAGTCCTACAATTCTTCAAAGGTTAGCGCATCAATGAGCAGTCCAATTTTCTCGGTGTGTGATTTTGTACATGTGTTCATATTGTATATACTGA